GAGGGGGGGGGAGGTGGGGTTGGTAGACACTGGAGTGAAACTTAGGGAGGAGGGGTGTGGTAAATACAGGGAATTATGTCAGGGGCTGTGATTCAAGATTCTGAGTCAGACAATAGCAAACCAATCACCGTTGCAGTAGTTTTCCCAATGGAATCAAAATCTTGTCCCACAAAAAACTACACAGTATCTGCTTTAAAGAGTGCTACAAGGATTACGAGGCAACAGTAAACAAAGGAACAATTAAATAATTAAATTTTTGCAATCAGAATTTTGAATTCTGAGAAATTCTAGTTAATTTATTGAGCTTGTGGGACATAGCAACGGTAACTAAGGAGAGGAACCATGAGACAGTATGACGTGATGAGTTAAGAGTCTTTTATGATGTATTTTACATTCTTTGTTTATATAGATTAGTAGGACAAAAGTCCAGCTCGAAGTTTATTGTAAAGGTACCAAGACATTGCAACAGCATTCCTTTATCCCAGCACCTTCCCTGGCAAAGTCTCTTGACACCCCAGAGATGAAGCCATTTTTGAGTCATTTCAATGTTACTGCATATGGAACTAAGGTAAGAATGGATAGGTATTACCCCATTAAAATCATCATCATCATCAGTGTTATCAGGTATTATCATCATCATCATCATCACCATCAATGCCATCATCATCATCAATGTCATCATCACCATCAATGCCATCATCATCATCAATGTCATCATCACCATCATCTTAAATATCATTCATTGATGTCATCTGCATCAGCACCATCCTCATTACAATCCTTCATCTTCATTCATCATTATCATCATCATCATCATCCATCATGTATCATCATTACAGTTATCAACATCATAATCTTCATGTATCTTCATTCCTCATCTTCGTCATCATTACAATTATTGTCATCATCATCATCAGTTGCTACAGATGATCCAAATACTTGGTGCAAATGTTAACAAACTTTCCATTCTCAAAATCCGAATTATCCCAGTAAGATGCTAGATATATATAAATATATTTCTTTTGTTCCATCAACAGAACACTCCAGAAATGAATTTAGAAGTTTATCAAGAGATGTGGTTTCCTGTCGCTGTAGTTGCTGGTGTCAGCATGTTGTTGATGGTGCTAGCAATCGCTTGCTTGGTAAGAATGGTATTTTAAGAATGATCAAAACAGAGCTAAAAATAGCTGCCAGTCATCAAACAATGACTCACCTGAATTAAAACTTTTCCTGCAGTGAAATCTTAGCTTGTCATTCTTCTGACCAGTAACGTTTTCAAAAACGAGGTTGCCCAAGCTTAAATTAATTTGACCAGCCCTAATAACCAGCGACCCACCAAGCTTTATTTTTAGCTCTGTTAAGACTGGGGGTGGAGCGTACCCCCAATATCTGCAATTTTATCCTTTTCTTTCATATATAATTATAACATCGCTTTAGAATTAATCAATAAGAAATTTCCAATAATTTTCAATCTTATTTCTTATCTTATTTCTTTCCATTAAGTCTAACTGACCAGTCTGAGGGGCCAGTTCTCAAATGGTACATCCCCCTAAAACTGTACACCCCTTGTGGGGCATAGGCCATTAACAACATCTGGATGCTACAGAGCCCAGTACATGTCAGTTCTTATTGATTTTTAGAACTCGGTCAACCAGTTCTATAGAATTGACGCATACCATTTGAGAACTGGCTGCTCGGACCGGTCAGTTCAACTTGAAAATCGCCCTAAGATTATTATCTGAATACCAAGGAAATGATAATATAAAGCTCTCTCTTTTTTGTCCAACTTCTTGGGGTTTAGGTTTCGATTTAATACTCATTATTTTGGTCACATGCTTTTGATTGACAGCTTGTATGCCGCAAACGTATGGCAGCCACAGATGAAGAAGAACAAAAACCCAAGCAAAATGACCCAGAGAAGCTGCTCTACCCTCCAGTCCACCCAATACAGACAATGACGGCAAATATGATCCAACCAGAAGCAGGCCGGGTGTATACAATATCTGGTAAACCACTAAAGCCAAGGAAATGGACTGGATCTTCGAAATCACTACTAGACAGGTAACTACTGTCTATCACATGAAGGGCCATACACATGCGACGCAGATATTGTATACAGTATTGCTGGGAGTATAATTTGTATAAGTGACGTTGAACAAGAAAATCCATGTTTAAGTTAAAAAAGTTAATGGAAATGAGCACAATTCTGTATCTGATTTACAGACATTTCTCATTTCTCACTAATTTCTACTTTTCTTTTATTTATTGGTTGTTTATATAATATTATAACATAATTTATAATGTAGCTGGGTATCTTGCAGAGGTGTTACAGTAAATATGTTGAAGAAATATACTGATTATAATGCTTTTGATGATATTCCAGGCGAGGATCGACACATTCTCTTGTTCTGGACTTGACTTCCTCCTCAACTGACCTTAGGCCAGGATCACCCACTTCGTTAAGCATTAAAGAAAGGTATAAAGCAGCTATGGATTGTCATGATTAGTATTATTGAATTGGAATTTAGAAATTGTTCTCTAAGAAGGAGGAGAACGAAGAGAAAAACCTTCAAAGCACAGGAGAGAACCAACAAGCAACTCTACTCACATCACACGACACTGATACTGGCAGGGCCCAAACCTGGGTTGCATGGGTGAGAGGCAAGGGCTCTCATGGCTAGGTCATCTCTGCTTCCCAAATCATCCAACAATCATAGATGCAATATAATATTATTGATAATTAATAATTATTAGCTTTGCATGATATTCTAAATTATTAGTATAGGAAATCGCACGATCCCGAAATTTATCGGCATGAATGATGTTTTGAAAGTGTTCAATTCGATAACTTTCAAAACATCATGAGTATCTATAAATTCCAACTTGTACGAGAAGATTGTGCAATTTGTTGTTCATAATACACTCAAAAAAATTGAGCAACTTAGTTGGGACTCTACAGAGTACAATTTGGGATTTAATTATACTCCTATTGTCCAATCAGAATCTAGTAATTTTGTGTGTGTTATAAAGACCAAAATATCAAACCATGCAGTAATATTTTTCTTCTAATTTCAGTCCTGTTGAAGAAAAACTTCAATCAAAGTCTAAACCCTTGAGCTACGAGAAGCTGGAAGAGGCTGTTGACAACACTAAACAGCTGTATGCAGAATTCTGGGTACGATGACTAGCTTTCTCTAGCCTATGGACGGGATAGATGGAGATAAAAGAACTGGGGGGAAACATGGTGTAGTTAAAAGCAAAGTGTGACATCTGGAGTTGATGTTGATGATGATGATGGTGATAATGATGATGATTGTAATGGTGATATTGATGATGATTATGATAATGGTGTGATGATAAAAGAGATAAAAGAACTGAGGGAAAACATGGTGTGGTTAAAAGCAAAGTGTGACATCTAGAGTTGATGTTGGTGGTGATGATGAAAGTGGTGTGATGACAAAGATGATGATGATGGTGATTATGATGGTGATGATAATTATGATTTTGATGGTTGTGATGATGATGATGATGATGATTATGATGGTGGTGTGATGATATCAATAATGATGGTGATGGTCATGATATTGATGGTCATGTTGCTAAAGATGGTAGTTTTGAAATCAGATGATATGCAATGCAATGGTAACGATGATTATCATGGTGGTAGTGGTGATGATGAAAAAATTATGATGATGATGCTGAAGATGATTATGGTTGTGACGATGAAGACAGGATGGTGAAGATGATGTTGGTAAAGATTGGTGGTGATGATTATGGTTTTGATGATGATAAAAAGAAATAGCTGTCTCATCATTAATTTATTATGTTTATTTTTCCAGGAAATCCCCATGAACCATCCCGCACCTGAAGACAGAATACCAGGTTCTAGTTACCGTAACAGATATCCGTTTATTTTACCAAGTAAGTAAGTCTGGGCTTATCTAAGTCAGGGCATGGCTAACTCACAGACGAGCCCTTGAACAACCTCTGGGCTGATCTAAGTCATGGCATGGCTAACTCACAGATCGAACCCTGAAACAACCTCAGGGCTGATCTAAGTCATGGCA